GTCTACCCAATGGTTGAACGGGTTAGGAGGGTCGTTCATCCATTTCAGCGTCAAATCACGTTACTCGAGTGATGCAATTTGTTAGGTCGTTCGTCTTGCCCGACCTCGGAGTCCGCGTTAAGGGGGTATTACCGTCTAGAAGCATGTTTTTTAAGTCATTTTTAGGAATTAATTTTGCGAAAACTACCGAACCTACAGTGCCGGGGTTTTTTTACGCATATTAAGACACGTTTCAACTAGCAACACAAATTTTTATGAAATTCATTATTGAAATCTATACAAGTTATTTGCTGTTATGTAGGTCGTTGCGTGAGACGTTCGTCCAATCGGGCACACGGGTTACAGTGATTCTAGTCGACCGAAGCGGAAGAACAACATTTTTTTTTAATCTACATGAATGTAGTTATCGTCTGAGCTAGGACTAAGTAAGTGCGACATTTTTTATCGGAATCGCAGCTGTTTGAAAATTAAGGTTTCATTTTCCCGGAAAATTGTCAACTAAAACATGAGAGCGAGGCTAAAACATTCAGGCTATCGGTATCATTCCAGTTCGGACTATAGGTGAAGATTCCGTCGAAATGTGTGCAAAACCCAAAGTCAATCGGCCCAATAGTTTTTGAAAAAAACGTGCGCATGACTTGAAAAATGTTTCGAGATAAACGCGTTTAAAGTTTGCCATACATTTAGCACGTACGGTGGATAACAACTGATTTGAGTAACTTGCCCTTTAATCAGCTGTACCGGGACCATACAAACCACCTTCCTCAGCTTAAAAAAAAAAAGAATATTGAGCCGCACAATGGACCCAACGGTCTAGGTACAATGGTCGAGGGGATGACTACCCACCGCACCCCAGTGCACCGCAGCCTTTAAGCCACTGCACTATAGAAGTTCTACGAATTTCAAATTAATATTTTCGAGACACATTCTCAGAACCCCAAACTATAAGAAAATGCAAAAAAAAACCAAATTTTTAAAGTTTCTAGACGATAATACCTTAAGGGGTTACACCACTTTGACCCACCCAAAAATTACGGTTTTTCAAGAATTTTTTTTTTAAGAATTAGAACGTTTTTATGCGAATTAAAGTACAAGAAGGTATTATACTACTATTAAACAAAAAAAATGCTTTTTTGTGTTTTTTTATGTACAAAAATGGCGGCTTGAAAGGCGATTTACCGGAGCGCTGCGAAAATCGATGATCGTGCGGTGGGCACGATAACGCAGTCGAGGTTTAAGTTAGAACAATAAACGAAAAGGAATTAGTTTCTGTAGCCCAAAAGCTAGCGAAATACGTAGCCGTTTTCAAAAATATGCATCTTTCACAAAATGGCATCGATTCGAAAGGAAAGATACGTATTTTGCCCTAAATTTCGTTAATTAATGTTGCATAAAAAACGCGAATATCAATACATTGAAAAAACCATACGTATTTCGCTAGATAAACATATCGCGAATAAAATAAAAAAAGAATCAAGACGATTGATTGAAAATTGGCGGAGCTAGTGCCCACCGATTTTTAAAATGCAGTTTTAAGAAAAACGCGTTTACACCTATACACCTGCCCACCGCACGATCACCGATTTTCGCAGTGAGCGAGTTTAATAGTAGTATAATACCTTACTGTACTTTAATCTGGATCAAAACGTTTTAGCTCTTAAAAAAAAATTCATGAAAAACCGTAACTTTTGAGTGCGTCAAAGTGGTGTAACCCCTTAAAGAAGCACAAAGGTAGCATAGGGAAGATCCCCGGTGTAGCAGCTCCCAGGGAACTACTTGTACCACTTTGCCCATTGTAAAGGAAACAGCAAAGGGAACACAATTTCATACCTCCGTCTGATCCCATTTGACTCTCATCCTTCAGCTCTTGGCAAATACTGCGTAAAGCTGAATTTCATCGCCCTGCTTGCATAGAAGTTCCGCATCTCGGTCCTACGAGTGTTCCCCCGTTCCCGACGAATTTTTATCAATAATTATCGAAGTTGTATTTCCTCTAGGGCAATTGTGTTCAGATTGGTTGCACAAAGGCGGCGTCGTAACGTTTCGAGGTCGGGAATTATGTAGCTAACATTTCATCGACCATCTACCGCCACAACGCGATGCGAAATCAACACTTTACAGTGACATTCCTAAAATGTGTTCATGTTTTTTACCAAGTAGCAAACATGTCGACAAAACGTTCCAGGGAGTTTTAAAAAACATTCCGCGAGTATTCGCTGCAACGCCGTTCCGCGCAAGTGATACGGTAAACAGTTCCGAATAGTGCATTTTAGATTAACAAAAAAAAGAAGAAGAAACGAAAAATATGTACCCGTTCCAGAGGGCACAATAACAAAGATATTTGATAACTAACGTCCGTTACGGTCCTATTTCATGAAAATTTGAGGACAGCAATTCATACGACGAACTTCATTAAGTATAATTGATGTACATTGTTAACGCTTTAATGCGTATACGCCGTGCTGCGGACTAATTGCAGGGCAAATTGTACGGCTAAGTAGATATCTGCTATTACATTCCAGGTACGTAACGAGGACGTTAAAAAAAAAAAACAATTTTTTAGAACACCCGAAACTCGTTGTATAAATAAGAATATATATGTATGGACTAATCGTCGAAGGTCTTCTAGCGAATGATAAACAAATGCAATTACTCGAGTTCGTCGATTTAGCTACATTTCGGAGTGGGTATCAGACTGATTGTTGTGATTTATCACGTGATTCTGGAACGTCCACGATCGACACCGTATATCTATGTATGTAACCGATCGTCAAAGAGTAACTAATTACATTACACTGTATTTACTACCAACGGTTCTGAAACGCGTTGTTTACATAAACATTCCATTGTAACCTGCTGTATTATCTATCTCTCTTAGTATCTATTTCAATTAAAAACGTCTGCTAATTATCCGAGTCTTCCTTTAATCCCTATATCTACGCACTCAACTCTCTTCCCACCAAACACCCTATTTTACAATGACATAACACTGGAATAACATGATACATAACGAATGTTATTCAAAAGATACATTAATACCATATAACTTTGAATTATTACCCTTCGGGAACATTGTTACAAACTTGTACGCATTGCAGTTATATAATATTAACATAACATATAACATGTTACCGATATGTTATGTATACGTTACATTATTCGTTTTATAACAGGGTTATATAACTGCGGAGGAAATAGTAATACAAGTCTTACTTATATGTTAAATGTATGTTACGTTATATGTTACTAATGTTATGTAACGGTTACATTTTTGTTACGTAACCGTGTTTGGTGGGTTATGACATGGTACTCTGAAAACACGAAATCAATAAAACACCGTGCAAAAATTGCGACTCTCTTCTCCAGCGCGATATTCTCATAACACGGTTTCTATATACCATGACTTAAATTTGGACAATCCGATAGGAAGAATATTCCCATTGCTGTTTTTGTTTGAAAAACATATTTCTAAGTTTCGCTTAACACGGTTTCGATATAGCAGGGCACTTTAAGGTGAAGTGAAACACGTCGAGGTACTTGATCGACGTCGATAAAGATTTATCTAAATACCTACGTTGTCGACTTTCGTTTTTATATTAACATTTGTGTCGAATTATATTGGGTATTGTACCAAATGGCATACTCCACTTGTCGTTTTTGTACAATAAATATCAAGAAATCGAAGTAAAACTCCAGAAATCCTCTGGATTCATGCTTTCTGAGGCCCTAATTGACTGCAGAGGGACCCCCTGCGCCATCTGTGATTTCCAGGTCAATTAAATTTTCACTCCGCGACCTCGTATTTCTATCGTTTTAGCATAGAAGCGCATACAACCCTTTTTTTGCCTTTATCTCGTTGGAATGCGAGTTTATTAATTATCAGAGTGTTCTAAATTGTCGTAAAATTGTCCTGACCCTTTCGTTTCTCATATCAGAGCTTTCAATAATTGTATATTGATCGAAAGATGAAAGCTCGACGCCATATTGGTTCTGGTCTGGGCCAAGTTAAAAAATTGTTTCTAAAAATCCAAATTTTGAATGTGTCAGGACAATTCTTAGATGATCAGGAGTGATGTGTCAAAGTTTTGGACAGTTTGGTCTAATACCCTTAAAAAAAGTGTTGTATTCGAGTCGACTGATTTGAAGGGGGTTTCACTTCACCTTAAGTTGATATGAAAGAGTCAGCCTATATATATCTGAGAGGTCAAAAAGTTGGCGAAAGTATTCTCCGAATTGGATATACCGATTCGTTTCAAATTTTACCACGGGAATATGAAGGCCCTAAAGTTCGTCCTAAAACTCATGAAATTTCATTTTTCATCAAAAATTTATTTATTTATCATGGACAAAAACCAACATGGCTTAGTCCGGGCACGTTTTCGATGTTTTACGCTTCTTGGAGGCCTAGAATCGAAAATGAAGAGTTTCAGGACCTAACTCGAACAATTTAGAATACCGTACAAATGTAATATTATGGAATCATATGGAAAAATATGGAAAACACTTTCACTAACGATTGCGAGAAAACCAGAGAAAACACTGGCTTGGCTAGGGGCTAACACGTGTTTTTTGAGCAAAAATTTAGTTGCAATTAAACGTCATAGATGGCGACGTTGGTTCTAAACAGTCGTTAAAATAATGAATTCGCGGGATTTTGCCAGTTTTACATCGATCTCTTTATCGTCATTTTACCGAAATGACATATGAAACGCTTCATTTCGTATAATTTTCAACGTAGACTGTAAAAGAGTTCAACATAAATATAAATGTCGGTAGCAGGACGCGCCAGCTTCTCTTACCACTTGAGTATTCAAAACGGCATTATCGCCAAAAAGGATAAGAATGAATTTTATTTTATCGACATCGATTAAATTTCTCAGCGCCTTTCATATTATCGAACACGGTTTTGGTATAAAACGTTATGATGTAACGACGCTGTAAGAGAACTGAATGTAGTTTATTAAGAGGCACAGCGATTTGGAAACAAGTATCAAAATAAGTAGCATTAATTGTTCTCCTTGCTTTATTATTGGAAATAAAACCGGTCTAGACAATACGAATTGCGATGAAATGTACAAGATGAAATAATCTCCAACGCTCACCGATTGCAATTGGATTAAACCCACGTTTGACAGACTCAGTAACACAATAAAGTATTCCCCACTGTGGTCCTTTGATTCAAATAGAGAACTCTTAGAGCTCACATAAAGTACATATCGCTAGTCCTTCTTAACGTTATTAATTATTTATTTAACGATTTTCATCTAGAAGATCGTTGACACCCGTGGGGTAAGCGTACGTAATAATTGGGAAGAACTGTGTGAAGCTAATGCACATCACCCCTATTCGTATGTATTTCCAATAATAGGATACAATTCATCGAATTGGTATGCATTCACTGATAAAATGCAACCTTTCTAACTTGCAATGTCACTTAATAGTTCTTTTAGAAAGTCAGTGCTCGATGGTGCCGTAGTGTAGAGACTCCCTGTAAAGATAGACTCCCGTCACTGACATATCTAACATTTTTAGAAAACAAGAAATCATTTTGATTCTACCGATAGAAAGTAATACCTATAAGTTAGAAATAATAAGAGAATAATTTCCTTGTTAATCTGTACCATTTTTGCAGTCTATGTTCTGTTCTAAATGATAACATCAAAATAAGGAGAGAAAAACAAGCAAAAAGGAATATTTGCTTAGTTATGATTATTGTTAATGAATTACGTTTCTAATAACTAAAACAACTCACCAACAAAGTTTCTCGTATCGCTGTCCTTCGCGATGACCTTGCAGTAATTTTTATGTTCTATTTTGAAACCTAGGCAACGAAACTGCTCATCCGTTTTGTATAGCGAGCTATTCTTTTGCGAGCCTAAATAAGGCTGTCCACTGAATGGATTGATAAAATCTGCCCAATACCCAACCATTTTCAACTTAGTACAGATGTCCGACGCCGCAAGAACAAACTATTGGAATAAACCAAAACTAATACTTCGCATTTAAGTAAGTAAGGACAATATAACAAATGGTAAGTTCTTACATATTTGGAGAGTTTTTCGATCTCATTTTCTGTACTCCACCGCGTGTTTCTCGAGCTTCTTTGTTGAGTGATGGTAATGATAGTAAGTTGTGCAGAGGTCACCTCGGAACAACCAGGAAACAATTCGGGCAATCCCTTTTTAAGTAGCATTGGACACTCCTGAGCCGTACAATGCAACTCTGGTCTGTCCAGCCTAAGCCTACGATTAACTGCAGAACTTTCAGCATCGTCGGTGGCAGAATCTACCGTAAGATCATTTTTTAGGATCTTAGATAAAGTTTCCACTTGGGCGGTCGTAGATGAATCCAACCACCCTGGCCCTACACTGCCTGGTAAGTAAAATCGAAATCCCGTCGGTGCCAGCAATTCCCAGTTTGAATTTGCTTCAAGCGTCGTATCATCGACATCTGTGGATCATTCGTCCATTCTTTTTAAATGTTATCGTGCAAAGCATCATATATGGTATATACTACCGAATACTAACGCAAGTATTTAATACTAATACGGAAATATATTTAATCGCATATGCTATACAAATTGCAAATAAAGTTCAAATTCCATTTACCATCAAGTGGTCTCCTGTCCGACTTGACAAGTTTGTAAGCGCTAACGTTTTTATCACTGCGTCGAGAGTACCTCGCCTTCCAAATAAAGTTGATAGATCCTACACTGCGATTGCCCCGCAGGGTTTTTGAACAAATCATCTGAAGTAAAAGAAGGCGATGGCTTTGCTAAGTACAATAAAGTAATTCCATAATAAGTTATCATAACCCGCCGAAGGAAGAATGGAAGCTGGTACTTAAAGATTGTTTAAAACATTATCCGAATAAGAAGAAAAGCAATTCGATAGAAAAACTGAGCACGATACAATCACTTGGTCACGATTTCTCACGTATTTTTTTACGTATTAAATCAGAGTGAACGTTGTATTCAGAAGAGGTTAGGTTGCACTTGTCAAAGCTTTATATAATTTGACTTGCGACACTCATTCCTGATTTAAGAAATAACAATACATTTGATAGCGAATTATTTACTGAGTCTCTTCACACTGATTCTTCTGATATACGTACTGAGGGGGGATTTAGAGAGCGTATCGAAATCGGACAACTGCTTCTTACATCGACTATCGAACTGTATCGAACGCGATACTTTTGGTATCATTAGAGCTATGTTCCGCAACTAGCTGCCAATGAAGCTTGCCAGCGAATAATAAAACGAGCAGTGAACACTACGTGACTGCAAACACGCCAATACTTGACATTCGATCCTTCCTCAATGACGTTAAGTGCAAAAATATATATAGTTGCAACGAAACTAACAGATTCAAAATAAGAACTCCCTAGAGGTAGTTCACACAAGTGGTACGTACTGAAATTTAGTGTTCCTGTTTTGTTCACTGTATAGGACACATCCTATATGTTAAGTATATCGTATATTTACGCCTGTGACCAGAAAGAAGGTGAGAGTAGCCACGGCTAAGAGGACACAGCTATCAAATTCTTGGGACACGAGCACCGGTTTTCCTGCGGATATCACTGGTACCCGAAGTATCATTTAAAAAAAAAATAGACCTGACGATGATGCGCCATCTCTGATTCAAAACGATTACTAAGTCGTTTTACAAAACGTTTCAAGTTACATTCAGAGATGAGTTGGGAGATTGCTCACAGGCAGGGTCGCGCGATCGCATCGTGTGCTGCCGTCTGGTTTCGTACGTTAGTTTCACCGTTTATTGCCCCCAAGGGCGGCGCAACGAATTTCTGGTAGGGGCTCGCGCACTCGCGATGGC